CTCTCTCTCTCTCTCTCCCGGCAGGTCAGCTCCACGTCCTCGGCGGAGATCCTGAGCGACAAGCTGAGCTTCCCCGCCTTCCTGCGCACCATCCCCAGCGACGTGCACCAGACGCGCGCCCTGGCCCGCCTGGTGGCGCACCACGGCTGGGACTGGGTGGGCGTGGTCTCCGGCGACGACGAGTACGGCCGGGCGGCGCTGCAGAGCTTCCTGGCCAACGCGGCGGAGCAGCGGGTCTGCGTGGCCTTCCACGAGGTGCTGCCCCACTACCTGGGCCACGAGGACGGCCGGCGGCGGGTGAGGGAGGTGGCCGGCCGCATCCGCCACTCGGAGGCCCAGGTGGTCCTGCTGATCCTGAAGCCGGAGCTGGTGGAGCAGCTCTTCCGGGAGCTCGTCCCCTTCGGCGTCAACCGGACCTGGATCGCCAGCGACTCCTGGGCCGTCTACCAGCCCCTGACCCAGCTGGCGGGCATCAACCAGCTGGGCGACATCTTCGGCTTCTCCTTCGTCACGGGCCGCATCCCCGGGTTCGAGGAGTTCCTGCGGCGGCTGCAGCCGCGCCCCGGGGAGGAGAACCGCTTCCTCGAGGAGTACCTCCGGCGGCGGGGGCCGGACGACGACGCCCTGCTGGGGGAGGTGGGCTCGGGCCCGGCCTACAGCACGCAGCTGGCCGTGTGGGCCGTGGCGCACGCCCTGAGGAGCCTGCTGCGCTGCAACGCCACCGCCTGCCCCGGGCCGAGGGACTTCCGCCCCTGGGAGGTGGGTGGGCCGTCCTTCCGCGCGGTCGCACGCCCCATCAGTCTGGCCTGTTCGGTAGTTTCTAGGTAACGGATCTGAGGGGCTCAGGGAGCTGTGTCTTGAAAGGAGCCACGGTAACAGCATCAACAACAAGGCTGGGCAGTTTGTTCCACACTCCCACCACCCTTTGTGTAAAGGGCTGTCACCTACCAATTATAAGGGTGCTAGGGCCCTTTCCCCCCGCCCTCTTGTGTCTCTCTGAATCTCCAATGCACCCACAGGCCAGACAAGATAGCATTGCTATATAATTACAATGCTATATAATT